AAAAAAAAAAAAAAAAAAAACACATTATAGTAAAATTAATACCTTCTCCGCTTCGCATCGAAGCTAAAATCGAACAACGTGTTAACATTAAATTTCTTGTTAAATTAAAAAAAACTGCCGCGGAATCATTTTGTATGTTATGTGAAGTTTATGGTGAAAAATGTTTATCAAGAGCACGCGTTTTTGAATGGCACAAACGGTTTTGCAATGGAAGAGAGGACGTGGAAGACGATGATCATTCTGGACGTCTTACCACATGTTCAAAAAACGAAAACGTTGAAAAAATCGACAAAATTATTCGGCATGATCGTCGATTAAGTGTTGAAGCTGTAGCAGAGATGGTAAATATTGACACTTTATCTTCTACATTTAAACTGCTGCCGTAGTTAAAAAAACACTATTTTTTGTTAAAATTTTCAACTTAAAAATGCTATAACTTGTTGAAAAATGTATATATCAGCACAAATTTTTTTTTTCTAAATACATTATAAGTACATCTTTCATTTGACATACTTTTTATTAAAATTGGACAATTTCCCCTTATATAGGGGGCGTCCAAAACTTGAAATATTGTAAAAAACATAGATCTTTTTCAACTTAATTTTTGAATATGTTCCGGAAATACTGCGTCCTTTAAACAAATATCAAATTAAAGCTTATTTTATGTACTATAAAATGAAAAAAAAAAATTTGTCCCGACAACCTATCTTCTATGCGCAAATGGCTACCATATTAAAAATATGCTATTTTAACAAATTTTTTTTTTTAATTAAACACTATCTACAGATTTGCATCGAAGCGTTTTTTATGATAGTGATTTTAATCACTGTCAGATATCATCTATACTGGACCCAACTATGCCACGATCCCACTGTGCCGCCACCCCACTGTGCTGGGTTTTTATATCTAACATTTTTCGGCAGTATAGTCGAATTCGCACTAATAACAAGGTTACTAACGCATAAGAAAATTAACCGATTTCATCAGTGTTTATAGTACTTTTAGATAAGTGTTTCCTAATCATCTTTCAATAATAGTTTTATAGATAACGTTAATAGTTTAGGTTATATTTAGAAAGTCTCGTTATTTTATTGTCACACCTCGTATTTTAGATGCGCAAGTAGAAATGTACTCATCATCAGAGTCTGTCGTTGCTAAAGATGATTTTAACAAGCCTGGACCGTCTAAAATGTACGTTAAACAACCAACTAGAGGAAGTATTGATTTTATTATGCCAAAACATGCAGCTGCACTCGATAAATGCAAAATTAGTGATAGAGATACAGTTCATATATTAATTTCAACAGCAGAGGCATTAGGTGAGGACGTTGAAAAATTAATTATAAATAGATTTTCAATTCGAAACTCACGCATACGTTTCTGTAAAGAACGCGCTGAAAAAATCCGTAATAATTATTTGGTAACTATTAAAAATTCCGTTGTTATTCATTGAGATGGTAAACTTTTACCTTCATTAACAGGACAAAAAAGTGTTGATCGACTTCCCATTATTACTTTATGTAATGGTGAGAGTCAATTACTAGGAGTTCCAGCAATTGATACGGGAACAGGGGTTGATCAGCCTGATGCTGTTTTTCATTTATTTATTGATTGGTGTATTACAGAAAATGCACAGGCTTTTTGCTGTGATACTACGGCTTCAAATATGGGTAAATTGAAAGGTACTTGCGTGTTATTAGAAAATTACTTAGAACTTAATATTTTGTACTTACCATGTCGACACCACATCTACGAGTTAATATTAAAATGTGTTTTTGAAGTTAAATTATATCTAACATCTGGTCCTGATGTACCAATATTTAAACGGTTTCAACAAAATTGGAGGAATATAGATACTAACAAATTTGAGCCAGGTATAATGAGCGACATTGTAAAAAAATATTAAATGATGTATTTACTATCTTCGCAAATAACTATTTGCTTATTAAACAACCCAGAGAAGATTACAGAGTTTTTAGAACTAACAATTATTTTTCTTAGTGGAGTTTCCTTTAGAGTTCCGGGAGCTATCCATCATTCTAGATGGATGGCAAAAGCTTTTTATTGCTTAAAAATATTTATATTGCAAAACCAATTTAATTTAACCCAAAAAGAAGAAATGTCAATAGCTAGCATTTATATATTTATTATTAGATTATACGTAAGAGCTTGATTTAGTGCACCACTTGCTTCTAATGCACCATACCAAGATTTAAATTTTTTAAAAGATTTGGTAAATTATCAGTCTATAGATAAAAATATATCAGAAGTTACAGTTAAAAAAATGTGTGGTCATTTATAGTATCTATCGCCAGAGAATACGGTATTATCACTTTTTGATACTAATGTTCCATTTGATACAAAGAGCAAAATTATAGCTGCTCTAAAAATGTATACAGATGATGATGTACCAAAAAAATATTTATTGAATACAAAAGAAGCTACTAGAATATTAAATAAAAATCTTGAAGATTTTATTTGTGGAAAATCAATGCAATTTTTCAAACGTTTTAGTATAGATACTAGTTTTCTCACCATTGACCCATCATTATGGAGCACTGACGAAAATTTCAAAATATCAATAGACCTTATTAATAGCATTAATGTAGTAAATGAAATAACTGAAAGGAGTGTTAAACTAATGGAGGAGTTTAATACGAAAATAACAAACGATGAAAAACAAAAACAATATTTGCTTCAAGTAGTAAATGATTACCGCAGTAAATATCTAGATTTCAAAAAGAGTACTCTTTAAATAATTAGTTGAATGATTAATTTTTAGTTGTTATGTTTGATGTGTTTTTGTAAATTTTTAAAAAATTTTCTTCTTATTATAAAATTAACACTGAATTCACTTTATTTTGTGAGTTTTTAACAACAAAATTATATATATTGAATTTTTTATACATAAATAATAAGTAAAACAAAAAATTGTTCAGAATATAATTTGTGTAAAATATTATTTAAACAACTTTTGTTTTTACAATTTTGTTGTTAATCCATTATTTCACGCGCTGAACTAAAAAAACAATGAAAAATGTACAGTTATCCAAAATTTTAGAGTTTTCAAACTTTAGGCCTTATGTGGCACGGTTTAATCTTTTCTGATTTACCTAAAACATTGCGTAACTCATTTTTATAAGTGTTGAAACTAATTGAGATTGTATAATTTTTAAATTTTACTACATTAATTTTAAGAACCACCCTAATACATCTACATGCACATATATACATTTAAGTTTAGCTAATCATTATATGTTAAGTTAGTGTCCGTGTCATTTGAAATATTTTAATCAGAAGTATCTGAGGAACTGTTTCCAGTTAAGCTATTGTATGAATTTATGAAATTGTTATATCAGGAGTTATCTAAAAGTTTATGTGTCAAATAGTTCATTAATGCAATATTAATTTTTGTAAAAAGATTTCTTCCTTCATGTGACTCATTACACAATGATGAATGTGCGTCTTGTAGAGACAGCTCCCGTTCATCATTAAGGAGTCTATGGAATTGCATTATTGCTAGTATAGTAATTTTTTGCGTTGAATAAGTTTTTAGGATTAATTGATAGTTACCACTATTGAAAGTATCAAACGCTTAGACATTTATTATATTGAAAAGAGGGTTAAGATATTCTATGGAAGTTTCTAGTGCTTTACTTCAGTTCCATACAATAACTACAGGCCAAGAATTATTTAAGTTAGTTATGTAAGCCTTGACTGTTGGTTGATTTAATGTGGTATATTTAGTGTTCATATTTCTTTTTAATTGCTGAATTATGTGGTGAGGTCTCAGTATATTTTCTCGAATTTTTTTTATACATAAGTGTAATCTGTCATGTTTAAGTGAATTTATTTGTAATGTTAAAAGCTGTGGCTTACCTTTCAATTTGTAAATATTACATGGCCCTTGGAATATATTAGTTATTACTCTCCAATGAGCAATTTTCCAAGTTCGTGTAAGTCGATCATGGTTAGGTCAATTAAAAAAATATTCGTATGATAAAGAGGTAGCCATTATGGATTGGGGGTGAAAATTTAGTTAAAATAGAGATGAATAAGAGTAAGAAGGCATGAAACAAGGAGAAGAAGAGAACTGTTTGGTATATTTATGTATAACTAGAAAAAACGATTAAAATTATCTAATTATAATAAAGCTTTACCTGTATCATATTGTCAAGTATCTCTCTAGAGCTAGTGTTCGCTTCGATGGTGTCTATTAGACTAAAGATTCAGAATATAATGTAAAATTGGGCAGTTAGTGTATTTTTTTTATAGCTCCCCTTTTGTATATATTAAGGCTTTGTATATATCGGGAAGGATTTTTTTTTATTATTTGTATTGTTGAATATTGTTGAATGAGATCTTAGATTATTTATTTATTCCATTGTTGAATTCTTGTGTTAAAGTTACTGAAAACCTGATGAGTGTATAGGCCCATTTAATAAACAAGTTGTTATCTTTACATTGTGTTTTGAGTTGTGAATTTTTCCTAAATGCGTATTAGAGTGTTAGATGTAATGTAAATTTTTTTTGTTTATTAATAACATCAGATATTTCAGTAATTGCTACCAACGTGTTTTATCTAAAGAGAATATTTCTAATATTAAGTAAACATTTCCGTCATTAAAGGAGTCTTACATTTGAGATTTAAGGTAAGTTTCTTTAGTAATTGAAGAGTAAAGTATTTTGCTTCAGTGCAGTCCCAAAATATAATTGCTTGTGTAGTTTTTGGAATATAGATATATTTCAGTATAGAAGATTATTTTTTCCTTTGATGATTTACATTTATATTGTTTTGTAATTGTTTAATAGTGGCATCTTTCGATGAATCATTTTTTTGGATAGTTTCTATGTTTTTCTGTTTTAAGAAATCTAATCTTAGTCTTTGAATGGTATCTATTTGAATGGTTACTATTACGGGTTTCCCTTCAAATTTCGATGGGACTGCTACCATTAAAGATTCTTTATACATACATATCTTATAGTTGTAACCCACCCCTCGACATTTTTTTTTTTAAAAAGTCTTAAAATTGTCTAGGTTTTTTTTTAGAGGCTAATAATTAAAAATAACGTTAGCACAGTGAGGTATCGGCACAGTANAATAAAAAATAACGGTAGCACAGTGAGGTATCGGCACAGTATGAAAGTGGCATAGTAGGTATATTTAACAGTGATTAAAATCACTATCATAAGAAACACTTCGATGCAAATCTGTAGATAATGTTTAATTTTAAGAAATTGATAGATTATTTCAAAAGCAACAATAACTCTTATTCCCTTAATTTTATCCCGATTAGTTATTTGATTTATTATTATAATATATGAATAAATAATTATAATAATAATTAAATTTAATATGAAATTAATATTCAATAATTTAATATTGTAATTAAATATTGAGATATTATAAAAATAATAAAGTATTTATATATGGCTTCACTTATACGTGTATAAAAGTTTAAAGGGCTTGATGTGAAAGTTTATAGTAAAAAAAATTAAAAATGTTGCCATAACTTTTTTAGCTTAATTCCAAGTTTGAAATTGACATCAATAAATTGAAAATTTTATGAGAATTAAAAAAATGATATTTTTAAGATTAATATGAAGTCAAGAAATTTTATAATTACTATTTTTAGTAAATTTATCATAAAAGCTTAATGTTTTTTTGCATTTTTTAATGCGGTAGTCATTTTCACCATGAAGACAAATCCAGAGGTCAATTTTTTTTTTCAATTAAAGTATATTACATAAGCATTAATTTAAGATATATATATAAAAGTGTCAGTATTTCTGGAACGCTTTCAAAAATTAAATTGAAAATGTCCTAGTTTCAATACGCATGTTTAAAGTTTTGACCACCCTTGTATAAAGGGGTATGATCCGATTTAAAAAAAAAGTGTGTCAGATGAAAGAGGTATATAAAAATTGTTTATAAAAAAATAATAATATTGATCCATACATTTTTCTGAAAGTTATAGCAATATAAATTTAATATTATAAAATATAAAATCGAGAATTTTTTCACGGAAATCGTACGTTTTTCTTTAACTTTGATGTCCGTTTTCACTATGAACACAAGTCCAGAGGTCAATTTTTTTTTTAAATTAAAGCATATTACATAAGCTTTAATTTAAGGTATATATAAAAGTGTCAGTATTTCCGAAATATTTTCAAAAGTAAACTTGAAAAAGTTGCCATTTTGAAACCTTTCCAGTGGTCTGGTAAAGGGTCACAAATATATATCAAATGATAGATAAATACTTAAGGTATCTATAAAAAAAATTTTATTGATTCGGTAATTTTTAAAAAATTTATGGCAGTTTTAAATAAAAAAAAATTGAAAAAAGTCGAAAATTAGCGATTTTTCTATTTGTAATTTTTTGGGGGATTTCCCTCATTTACCGTAACCAAGATAATTTTCTTCTATTTTTGAGGGTAATGTCGTCGACTAGATACAATTTGGGAACTTTTGACGTATTGTTCATCAAAATCGGTCCAGCAAGAGCTGAGATTGAGCGTTCACAGACACAAAATAAATAAATAAATGACACATCATAGTAAAATTAATATCTTCTCAGCTTCGCATCGAAGCTAAAAATTCTAATATGATAATTTTTTATATTAAGTGATATAGGTGTGTGTTGTTAGGAGACCTAGACTGGCTTTGTGAAATGTTGGGTAGGTCAAAAAATTTCCCCATCATAATAATAGTGAAATGACGCTTCTGTTTTATAACTTTCTTATAATTTTGAGTAGTGCAAGTGGAGAATTCATGAAAACTTTTGAAAATGTTAACATTTTTTAGTTTGGATTGTGATTACTAGAATTCAATCAGTTAATAAAAGTCGATCCTCGCCATACTAACGGTCATTATTTCTCCATATACATGTCACCACTATTAAAATTTTGGGGCTAAAATTTTAACATTAAAAAAAAAATAATTGTTTAACTACATTTTGTGTAGTATTATACTCAAGTCTAATAAAAATAAATAATGTTATCATGCGGCAACACTGNTAGGCCAACCATATACATGTCACCACTATTAAAATTTTGGGGCTAAAATTTTAACATTAAAAGAAAAATAATTGTTTAACTACATTTTGTGTAGTATTATACTCAAGTCTAATAAAAATAAATAATGTTATCATGCGGCAACACTGGTCAACTATTGTTTGATTTGAGATAACACTCGTCTAGTTGAGACGTAGCAAATAGATATTAGCTACGATACGATTACATCCGTATCGTACTGTGACAACCGTAACCTTCGAACAACAACTTGTGGAGCGTGAATGTGTCGGCTCCCAAACAAATTAACTTTATTTTTAATTTTGTGTAACTTTAATATACATTGCATGAATCTCCTTCTGTAAATTAATTATTTTATTTTTCTGTCTTTTTCGTTGTAGTATTATATAAGTGTAAAATATTTTTAAATTTTAATAATGAAAACATTTTTTTTTAAATTGTGTGCAATTACTTTTCTGGTAATAGCAACTAATGCCAAATCTATTCGTGAAATTGGTTTACATGAAGATTTTCTTGATGATAAGTATTATAGCCTTTCTGAAATTGAAGATTTATTTAATAGAATAGAAAAACAGTATCCAGAAATTGCGAGAGTGCATGAAATAGGCACTTCAGTTTTAGGTAACAAAATCTTAGTATTAGAAATCACTTCCAATGTTGGTCGACAAAGAACACTTTTAAAACCAATGTTCAAATATATTGCAAATATGCATGGTGATGAAACTGTTGGTTTGCAATTACTATTATATTTAGCTCAATATTTGACTTCTTCCTATGGAAGAGATGATGATCATCGTGTTACAAGGCTTGTTGATAGAACTGATATATTCTTGATGCCTACACTTAATCCTGATGGTTATTCACTGTCAAACGTAAGTTATATTTTTATAAAAAATATTATATTTTATTAAAGTTTTATGTGGAATAGGGTATTCTATAAATTTTAGATAAAATAAAACTTGTATAATGTTTAGTCAATATAAATATTGTATTATATTTAAGTAATTAATGTATTTAATAAATGACAAGCTTAACATTTAAAAAATCACATTTTTAGTCAATGAAACAGGAGTTTACATCAGGAGATTTTAAATGTATAAAATTTACCAACTTTTTATTTGATTTTCACAGTAAAATATTCTGTTGTAGTTATATCATTGAAAAATATTAATTTCTTCAAATTTTTCTTTAATTGAAATTATTTAACACAATTTCTTTATAATATAAAGAAATTGTGTTTTATGAGAAAAGTCTTAATTTTTATTGAAACATTTGTCCTTGTGTATTAGTTTTATTTAAAGTATTTATGTTTTCACAACTACCTAAAATATTAAGATTTCACTTTTTTTAATATGAAACTATATTGCATTTGATTTGTAGCTCATAGATAAGTTTTTTAAATATTACTTTGGATATTTATGTATTCATTTAATACAATTTAAGATTAGTATTAGATATAAGTTGTTGTCATTTAAATTCTTTCGCCACAGGAAGGAGACTGCTATTCTCAGAAAAATTATACTGGAAGAAATAATGCACAAGGTATAGATTTAAATAGGAACTTTCCTCAATTAGATCATAAATACTTTGATATGCAACAACCAGAAACCAAAGCTGTAATTAATTGGATTCTTCACAATCCATTTGTGCTATCAGCAAATTTTCATGGTGGTGCTGTAGTTGCCAGTTATCCATACGACAAATACTATAAGTAAGTGTTATTTGATATATTTTACAAAACATAAAATACACAGTTTAGAAAATTGTCATAATTTTTAAGAGGCCATATTCTATAAGTTCCCCAAAAATTTTTTTTTTTAGTATGATTATTTTTTTAGTAAATTATGAATAATAATTTATTTATTACTAGTGTATTGAAAACATTAAATGATTTTGTTTTTATATTAATACGTAGGTGTGTTTTTTATTATTAGTATGAATAAAAACATTTAAAATTTGTTTAATATTTACCAATTACTCAATTTTCAAAATTATTTTGGAGGAATAATAGAATATTCCATTTTTGTATAAATAAACTTACACCAACTTTCAAATTATAGATATTTAGAAAAAAAATTTTAATTTTGAATTATATAGTCTAATCCAGATTTAGGGGGTTTTGGTATTTAGGACTGTAATTCTTTTAAGTCATAGAATAAAATAAAACTTAAAATAGTGCCTATGATGTAGGACATCCAGGTCTTATAATATTTCAATCCAGATTTATATATGTTTTTTCAATAGAAATGATGATATGTACAATAAATGGAACTGATAATTTAAATGAAAATCCTAATGAATTGAAACAAATTGCATTAGTAAATAATTATTAACTTTAAAAACCAGATAGATTTCGTGTTACGAAAATCAAGAACAGATAGATCACAAAAATATTAGATTTTTTCCTATGAAGTACTCTATTACTACTATTAGTTAAAGCCTGACAACAGCGTTTTATATTTTTATTAATAATTTGATCATTTTTTTATTTTAAAATTCCGTATAAAAAGTTGTTTTGTTAGTTGACTTTGAATTTGTATCAAGTATTCAAAAATTTTTTTTTCTATGGTTTAAAAGTTTGAAAAGTTCTTCTATTCATCAAAATTTCAAGTATTTATAAAATCAGTCAAATTCTGAGTGGGTGTGATTAAAATTTTTTTTAAAGGAAAAAATGTTTAGATATATGAACAAACTATTTTAAACTAATATTTAGTAGTGTGTATGAAAGCTCTACGTGAGCTTAAATAATGACTGGTCCATAATCAAGCTATAATAGTTCGGGAATACTAAGTTTTATAATTTTGGAATCTATTGCGGTTTAGCATGTTAAAATTTATCTGGCTTAGTTAATTGTTGTTCAGACGCATATTAGCTTTTAATCCGAGTCTTCTACATTTTATACCTACTTGGTTTTAGCCCAGACGATTTTTTTTAAGCCCATCCTGTCCTTAATTATAAAATAAATGTTATATCCATTCAGGTCCAAGTATGAACTCAAACTGAACAAGCCAGGCTCATGCAGAGTTCTGGTCTGTATACCTTTCATTAATTATTTATTTCATATAATTAAGTATGTATGCTAATACCTAAAGTTTTTAAGCGTTTACTTAAATTCATTATGTTATGAATTTAGTTTTACAATTTCTGAATTCCTCCAAATTAATTTTTTTTTTCAAGATACAATAATTAATAGTTCATAGTTAATTTTCCATTATTTATATAGTAATGGTGCTAGTCTCGCTAATTCTAAAAAAAAAACATAAGAATTCAACACAAAAATTTATTTTGATTAAGAATTTAAAATGTCCAATAGCTACAGCCTAATGAAATTTATACCACCCAAAAAATTTTTATTAAAAAGATTTAGAAAAAAAAAGTTTTTCAAAAATAATATTCATTATGAAATATAAAAAATATATCTTTAGTCTCTTTTTCTAACTTTTTCATTATGTCCAATAGAATAGTTAATAATAATAATAAATTAATAATTAAAATAATTAATAATAATAAAATAATTTTTTGAATGATATCTAGTTAAATATGGGATACTGTTAGTAAATATGTAATATACATAACTTCATTAGTACTGAAAACTTGTACTTATTTAAAGAGCTTATTAATTTAAGTAAAACCAATACTATTTTCATTATTTTTCCATTTAAATTATAAATTGAATACGAATTTTTAAAGAAATTTATATGGAAAGCTTTAATTTTTATTCCTATTTTATAATTTATTATAAAACTGTTTATTATGAAATATTTTTATTTATTATAGATAATATTTAATTACATTAATTATGCAGTTATGGACAATCTAATTTGAATATAGAAATATTAAATTTGAATTTTCATAATTTGTAGACAATTTATAATTTTTTATAATATTATTTTAATTTGTCTTTCGATGTTTACTCAATATAAGAGTAATTATTTCTTGTGGTCATTTAAATTTTAATATTTCAGTTTTCTTTAACGTTGTTTTTCCATGTATGGATTTTCTTAATTGATGGGTAAAATTATATATTATTATCATACTTATAGCATAATAATAATTCATTGAATTTTTATTAAATTTTGTTGGCCGAAATCTATATAAACTAAAACTAAACAGTATAATATGTAAAAGTTATCATCTTTAATAGTTCAAATAATTTGGATACTATAGAATTTGATCTCTGCGCCAAATTAATTAATATTAAACCAAATTGATTTATTTTCATAATAAGTGATTAAAAATAAATATTTAGTTTGTGATTTGGTAGTTATAATTACGTTAACGGTTACTATTTAAACAAATCGTAAATATCCATTTGTCATAATATGTTTACTCTCAATAGTCATTTTAAAATATGGTTCTTATTTGACTTCACATTATAAAGTATAAATAATGTATAACTCCAATATATCAATTGTTAACAATTTAAAAAACCACTACGGAGGTTTTTAAAATTTTTATCAAAATTTAACTGATGCACAAAGTTTTGTATAATTTCAATTTAAATTATTTCCTATCATTAAAATGTTTGAATATTTCAAGGTATCATTTTTCAGTAACATTCACGTACATAAACATATTTTTTCTATTTATTTTAATTACTTAATATTTCTAAGAAATTTTCTAACGAGTATCTATTAAGTACATATTAATACATCTTGTAACTTTGAGGTGCCTACTTTTATGTGAAAATAACGTGTAGTCGTATGTTTCAGAGGTGTGTGCAATTGTTTATATAATTTATAAACGGTTGCACATTTTAAAGAAATCATGCTATTTCATAAAGTTAAACGAGATATTATAGACGTTATTATTTCTTTAGTAATGGTATACATTTGTACATGAGTGGAGGTTTAATTTTAGTTTAAAGTGCTCTTTTTGGCCTCAAATTAATTCTAACATAATATGTTAAAAGTGTTAATGATGAAATATTTATTTTCCGATTAAACGTATTTTACCCAAAAATTTACTTCCACTACTTTCACTTTAATTCCACACACATATTATAATATAAAATATAGTTGTGTGTTAAAATAGTTAAGTAATTTTTACCTTAAGAAGCATTAATTTTAAACGAATTACTCCTATTAAATCCTTAAATACTCCACTAAAAAACAGATTTTACATTTTTCACGTTTGTGCTAAACTAAAATTATCTACGTATACTATTTTTATCTAAGCAAAAATTTGTTATCAAATATTGAATATGTAATTATGGATATCGGACTACTGAGTGACGACAAATGTAACGAAATTGGTAATAATTTGTGACATAAACGTGACCAAACTTGTTTCTAAACGAAAACATTCTTTAAAGTTTTTAGATAGAAAAAATGTGTTATCAAATATATATATATATATATATATTATGTAACTATGAATATCATATTATATGTGTTCTTTATCTTCTTTTTCCTCGCCTTAATCCCTACCATTTGGGGTCGGCCACCCTTAACCTTAATTTCCACTTAATACGATCTCCCACATCATCTACGCTCTCATTAGCCGTCCTCATATCACATTCAATTACATACCCCATCTCTTTTTTGGTTTTCCTCTACCTCTTCTTTATTCAACATTCATTTCTATAACTGTTTTTACAGCTTCCGATTCCTCTCTCTCATAACATGACCAAACCATCTGACTCTATTTTCTCTCATCTACGATTGACGCTACACCTATACTCCCTCTTATATGTTTGTTCTTTATCCTATCTTCTCTAGTCACTCCACTCATCCATTAAATTTAAATTACTCTCTTAAATAATCTATAAGTATTACTTAATACCTATTAATTAATAAGGATGAATTTTTTTACAATAGTTTTGGTTACAAAACTTTGCAAACGTCCATTTGAATGCACTAAATAATACATACTGTATGACACACCCATCATTGGAGTTTATTTTTTATTTATCGTGTACGTTAATCGACTAAAAATATAATGTGAAATTAATCGTTAATTAAAATACTTAATCATCTTAAATATTCTTTATTTTAATCATGAGATAATTATTTTTAATAGAAATTAATTAGTTCGTTTAATGACGTTCATTAAAATAAAACTTAACCCAGGGAATATATATGTTTCTTTTTGAGTCCTTTAGTTGCAAAAGAACGCTTGTCCAAAAAATTAAATTTATACTATTTTAAAGGGAAATAGGAGCATATTTTTTTTGTAAATTGTAGACTATAAAATACTATTAACTTCTAAAAATAAAAAAAAACCAGCACAGGGGGGTCGCGGCACAGTGGTGACGTGGCATAGTTGGATCAAGTATAATGATATCTGATAGTGATTAAAATCACTATCAAAAATAAACGCTTCGATGCAAATCTTTAGATAGTGTTTAATTTTAAAAAAATTGGTGTTTTATTCCAAAAGCTACTTGATCTGCTGGTTCCTTATTAATATCTCGATTAAGATAAAGTATGTCGAATGAAAAAGGGTTTATTAAAAAATATTATTTCTCATAAAAAAATTGTGTGGATCCATAAACTTTTCAATAAGTTATAGCATTATAAAGTTAAATGTAATATAAATAATAATAATATTAATAAAAAAATTATTAAATTACAAAGTAACATGATTAAATTTTGTAGTTGAAACCTATCATATCAAACTTCATTCGTCAATAAATACTTTGAAAACATTAGAAATTAATGATTTTAATTGTCTTTATGGAGACGATGGAATAACTAACTGTTTAATTGA